CATCATTAGTACATTTAATATTCTTGTAGATTTTTGTGTCATCCGCAAGTAAAAGACAATTTGAATGTTTTAAAATTTTATTAATGTTATTTATGAATATTGAGAATAGTAAGGGTGATAAGTGATCACCCTGAGGAACGCCGGATAAAGTATTAATTTGATCTGAAATATAATTTTCATATTTTACGGCTTGAGTGCGATTGGTTAAGAAGGAATGAAATAAAAACAGTACAGTGGGGTCAGGTCACAGGTTTACGGATTTTATTATAACTGAAAGTGATAAAATCACTTTTAAATAAACACTTCGATGCGAATTTGTGGATAGTATGTTCAAAACAGTTATAGCGGTTTAGAAGATATCGTGGGGACAGCAATAATGTACTTAAAATTTAATATTAGTCTTGTGTAGGGTGGATTCGATAAGGGTTGATCGTCTGTCTATAAAAATGTACTGTCATAGTTACCCATATATCGTAATTAACAATATAATGAAAATATTTTCATTACCCGTTGACTGTTGATTCACTCACACATAGCAACCTAGAAACAGACTACGACCAAAGTGTACATTTACCCTATGTTTGGTGTTTTTCCTTAATAAAAAAAAAGTTTGACTACAGATTATTAAAAAAATTGTATATGTTATAGTTCCATTTTAGATCTACCTTCGGTCTAACTTTCAGATCTAAATTTTTAAAACTTTGCTTGAAAAAGTGAAATAAAGAAAAAAATTCTATCCCTTCTAGAAGAAAGGGAAGAAAGTTTATGTTATTTTTTTGGTTTGTTAATATTTATCGATAGTACTATGTTTGTAGAACAATTCATATAAATTTGGAACTTTTCCGACTATTTTTAAAAAAGTTATAGAGCATCGTAATTTTAAGTTGAAAAATTTGTAAATTTTTTTTGGTGTTTTTCTCGATTTTGATGGGGAAGGGGTGACTACTTTTTTTAATTTTTAGCTCATTAAAGTACCTTTGAAGTATAATTTTTTATCTATAGAGCTGTTACACGAAGAAATCGGTTCAGTGGCTTACAAGATGTCGTGGGTCTAGACACAAAAAAAAAACACATCATTGTGAAACCAATACCTTCTCAGCTCCGCACCAAAGCTAAAAATAAATTCTTTAAGTTCTATACAATTACAAAAAAATGTCAATTTTAGCTACATTTTTCTTTAGCCTCGTAGATTTCTGAAATCTATGAACGGATTTGTTATTCAAGGTCTTATTAGAGTCGCCTTGGCATGTAAAAGTGTAATGAAGAGTTTCAGAACTTTTTCTGATATAGTTCATTCACTATACAGAGCTTTAAAGCTGTATCAGGGACGTATTTAGATATTTTTTTTTGTGGTGGTGGTGGGGGGGGGGTGGAAGCCCTTAGCCATCCCCATAAATACGCTCCTGAGCTGTATATCATAAAAACACATTTCTTCCGCCTACATTTTTATACTTTTTTTAAATTAATAATTGCTTAATAATAAAAGACAATTTTTTTTAAACGATTCTCAACAAAATCATGGAAGTCTACATGGCGACCCCGACTTGGCAAGCCTATTTTTATTGAATGTATAACAACTTGGCATTCTTTCTGCGTAATTGTACAATTCAATAAGTATATATTTGTACGATTGTCTATACGAACTGATTACAATGTGGTGGTTATTGGGTTTCATTGTAAGGGTAGTTTTTTGTTATTTTTTTCACAATTTAATGAAACTCAATTTGCACAGTTTATGTGGTTGGTTGAATTGATGTGTTAAAAAGGTCCTCTAGCTAAAAAAAAAATTATACAACTATATGAACATTTTTGCTGTTATTGGTCCAAAAAGGTTTTTTATTATTATTTTAGCATGGCCAATATTGGTTTGGTTTTTTATTGATATAATTTCTAGTGTAAGTAGATTTCGTTTTCGAGCAAGTTATATTATGTGCTAATGATTTGGCAGCGGGGTTTCATAAAGTATAATCGTCACGAAAATCCGTGTCACGTAAAACGCATAGACAAAGGGGTCGTAAAAGATTTAGACGGGACACGATTTGTTATCGTCACCGCTATAAGAACCGTCGACCCGGTACGAATCTTTCGGTTTTCCAGCTATGAGTTATGACTTGTATATTATGGTTTTGCCATTTTCAACCCGACTACAGAGTATAGTAGTGCACTGTGTAACTTGTAGTGTCTGGGGGAAAAAAGTACATTAGCCAAACATTGTTTTCGCCTTTAGGGGCTGCATTTGATCAACGAATAAGTTGAAATGCTGGTACGCGCACAACGGATTAGTATTTGTCAAAATCTAATTACGGCTCATAATACCGAAGCTGTACACCGTTAGCGTACATTCCGCGAGTTTGTCGCATTTAGCTGAAATATAGATGTGTCGACGTGTGTAGTACCCTGCAAGAAATTATTATTATATTGCGTCGTGTATTCCCAAATGGATACGTCAAAACAACAGGCGGGGACGTGCTGCTGTTCTATACTGACGTGTGTCCCAGTCGTGTACCAGACGGCTGTCACATTTTGGGTTTTGGCATCGCTGTATCATTATCCTGTGTATTCATATACTATCATTGACAATAACCATTCATTACAATGTATTGTGTATTCATGTATGCATACGAGTGCGGCACATAATAGTGTACAGTAATGGGATTCGACTCGTGGCTCTTTAATATTCATTTCTATTTTTACTTCTATCGGTACACATACAATTGTCAATTTATATATATACATAAAATATATATATGTGTATGATTGTAAATTACTCAAGAAGACGCCATACAATCTTTTCGGAAATTATATTGCAAACTGATGAAAGATTTGAATCTACTTTATACGTTCGCAATATTTTTTTTATAAAAATATGTTTATTGAACTTTCTAGAGATTTTACAATAAAAAAAACTCCAGTTCAATCTACGAGAACTTAAAATATGATAAAGTAGTACTTATGGCTTAACTTAATTTCAAAGAAAAACAAATTCGATTTTGCTTTTTATTTGTCTTTATTGACTGACCTAGTTTAAGTGTAAATCTGGATACATTTTGAACTGTACGGGTTTGTTTTTAGGAGTCTGAATGCAAAAAAAAAAAATGAAAATTGTATTAACTTGCATAAATATCCGATTTTACTTATTTTCTTTATTTAAAATAACTATTCAAATTCAAATGAATAGTGTTTGATTACTTAGTTTTGACAGTAGTTTTATTACGGCATTGTATAGTTAATTTGAATTATTTCAATAGGAGTTGAAATAATATTGTTCAATTTTTCGTATTACCTTTTATAGTGAATGGTTTTTTTATAATATTTTTAGAGATTGTGTTTTAAAAAATCGCGTAAAAGTACCTTCATAACTTATAATTTTCTACGTACTGTGATACAGCTATTAGCGTTTAAAATGTTTTTTTTAATTTTAATAAATGCCACCCTCTAATAGTGAATTTTATTAGCCAGGTAGTAATATTAATAATAAAATAAAAATAATGTTGTGAATCGACCATAACCACACAATATATTGATTGAATGCGGTCGAAAAAACTTTACTTGGAACATAGCGGTTGTGTGTGGCTAATGTGTATATATTGGTTTGGAAATCTTGCCAAGGGACGTGGAAAATGATGATGAATAGCCGTGAAATTTACTTTTTGAGGGTTCTCGAAACAGTCGACCATTTCGGTACTTTCGAAATCATCCGTTATATTTACCGAACGACATTTTGGCTTACAAAATACATTAACTAATAAAATATAACATTAAAGTGTTGAAATATTTATATCTATGCATGTAATTTACAAAAACATTTGCTTTGAAATGATTCAATTCAGATTTGTAGTTACCGTTACATTTTGTTCGAGTTCAATTAGGCAAACGACGTGGACAGTCGACTACATTATGAAAAACTAATCATTTGGAAAATCAAAATGGTTAAAGTTATTTAAAACGAAAAGCATGGTAATCATTTTTGGACTAGAGTAGCGAAACAGTCCACCTTGATTTCACCAACGGTTAAAAACGAATACCGAATGCACACCATAATATGCGAAATCAGCTTTTAACTACTGCCTGTGATTTTAAACGTGTAATTTAAATACACGTGTACACGAACCCCGTGTAGTTATAAATACACGTGTATTTAAAAAAAATTATTTTGTCAACAATTGTAGTTTGAGTTAACGTATTTACACAATTATACTTGTGTTTGAGTTCGTATAATTAAATAGACATGATACTAAACGTAAAACTAAAATTAATAACAAAAATAATTTTTTTTGAATACACGTGTATTTATAATTACACGTGTATGTCAATTACACGGGTTTCACGTGTAATCGAATACACGTGTAATAGGGACCTCTACTTTTAACTGTATAAAATATGATTTTTTAATTTTTATCAACTATTCCGGAATGTTATTTAGTTTTTAATTGTTTGCGACTGACCTACTCTCCAAGCTGTATTTGTTTGTGAATAGGTAACAGTACCACTATATATATATATATATATATATATATATATATATATAATATATTATATATAAAATATAAAATTATTTTATATACCTAGTGCAGATGCTTGAAATTACTCCGTTATTGTAATTGTACTGCAAACGTTCCAATAGTTGGTTTTCACTCATCCGTTTAAAAACAGATTGGAATGTCGCTTATGTATGATATAAACTACAAAGTTTAACCAGAAAGCGAGAGAGAGACGGAGACTAAGAACTTCCGTGCAAGACACATACTGTCTGAGGATTTTATCCATTATTATATATAATATAGATAAAATCCGCTTTCTCGAAACCACTACTTCAAACTGCAACACTTTACAAGACAGTTATTGTACACAATACCACCCACACACATTTATAAGCGGTCGTCTCTAAACGCGTCCTTAAAACACAAATCCATTTTATGCCTGTATTATTATTATTATTATTATATTACATAATGTCCCGTCGCGTAACTTAACGGCAACGGTTTTAATTGTATACTTACTTAGTCCGGGCGGAACTTCCGGACACAACGCGGGGGCTTTGTTGTTCGTTCTATCACCTTCAGTTCCAACAACAGTAACCTGGAAAATAAAATACGTGATGACCTTTAAAGATAAAACTGGCATTTGTCTCGAGACAGCCGCGTAAACAACATCTCGAGTATTTTAGAAATTATATTTAATATACGCCCGAAAAGAGCGTAAGACTAAGACTACAAAACATTACTTATTTTCGATTGAAATTTTGACGGAAAATATAGCAACATTTATATTTTTGTGGCGGGACGACAGAAAGTCTGCATATCATACAGATATGCATTACATGTATGTAGATATTAGACAAAGTAGCAAAATATTGTATGGCTGGGTGCTTTTTAATTAGGTATTATTGCTATTTTTGCTCGGATAAGAGCTAATACATGAGAATAGATATAATACTGGAGAACTTTAATTGTACTTTCCCGAAAGTTGGAAAAAGGGACATATCAGCTTCTGCTATCTTTTCTCGTGTTATATAACAGTGTGTTCCATTTTCTAGTAAAGATAATTACATAAAAGGACAATATCTTATATGGTCTTAAATCGTTTAACTTTTGCTATTCGTGTGCTATATAGATATTTTGAAATCGTCAAAACCCAGATTGTATTATACAGTTTATATAATGCACTTACGTTAAGTATATTAGATAAACAGCACGGGCCTATTTAAATAAGTATGATGTATAGACAGCTGACAAATAAATCGAATATGACAAAAATTGTCTCTATCTACTATTATAATTTTAAAAATAACTTTAAAACAATGTATACATTTTGTTTGTACATAGTTTAATCAAGATATTATAATTATCAAATTACAAAACCCATACTAGCGAGGAACAGCTTCCTATAAAAAGTTTTATGGCTTTATTGTTATACATGTAGCCTGAAGGTAATTACTTTTATGATAAAAGTAAAACAAAAAACAAAATCAACTGACAACTACGGATCTTCATTATTTTTATAAGAATAAGCAAATACGCTTCTTTAAAATAATGTCGCAAACGTTATTATACAGTAGCGTTTATGAAGTGCAAACATTGGGTAGGTTGTATGAAAATGAAAATCTGATGAGTAAAACAAAAGTAATATTAGCTACATAATCTTGTTTCTCAAATTCACTTTGCATAAAATAATAACTTGTCGTCATTATGATATGATTCAAACTTTAAAATTAAAATATTTTTAAATTAGTTTTCGCCTTTCAAGCGTTGTATGTTAATTTAAGAAATGCAATTGTATTTTCGAACCACTTGCTTAGCATTCGACCAATTTTATATTTAATCTAGTGTTCGTTTGTTTTAACCTTAATACAAATAATTCTGTGGATAATAATAATAATTCTATTCTAAGAATACTTAATGTATTTAAAAAAATATATATATACTGAGTTGTACGTTAAAACGTTATGTACGTTAAAATATTGTTTCTAGTTGTTGCGCTCTACAATAAACAATTTAATTGCAAACATATTTAAATTTTAGTGATAAATAAAACTATAGATGATTTTAACGGATTCGTTTTTTGTATAGAAATTGTATAGAATTTTAAAAAAGTATTAAGTTTTATGCCATATTACCATCATAAGAAGACCAGCAAAAATGTTTAAATTGAACGGGGTTTCTTAATTCATTCTCTAGTAAAATTAAAACTTAGCGGTCTTACTAAATTTTGACACTTTTGAGGGTTTGTGAATTATCGTACATAATTTCACAATATAATATTTCCCCAATAAATAAATATTTCATAGATGTTCTAACCCGTTGCTAAGTGCGACAGCGTCACGTTACTATGATAAAAAAAAATGCAAAGAACCAGGTACACTTATTTTATATATTTATTTGTATAATAAAGACGTGCCTAAAGCCTTTGGGGTTCGAGCATAATAACATGTGAAATGTAACACATGAATGCATACATCAAATGGTATATATGATATATATATATATATATATATAATATAAACGGTGTCTGTTGAAACTGATGCTTTTGAATCCGTCAAACGGACCACGCACTTGCGTTCACACACAAACGAATCGACTGCCTATTCAAACAAACGGTATGTGATGTATGTGTGTTGTTCTTTATTTATCGGCACGGACATTCAAATTGGCTGTTTTACAATGAGCATAAATAATTCAGACAGGCGCACGTGCTATAGTCGAATGCTGAATGCACACCGAATTGAACGCATCAGATAAGTAAGAGAAGAGTAAAAAAAAAAAAACACTATCCACACGGGATGACTTAATAGAGAATATGATTTAATCAAAAACTCGACGAAAATTGAATAAAAAAAATAACTTTGCTTGCTAAGACGTTGGGTTTTTTTTTTTTTTTAGTGCTAAAATTACTGGTATTCATTTGAACATGCGCTAAAAATTCTCAAACCACAAAATAGTCCATCCAAAGAAAACGTGACGAATAACTAAAGTTTGCTTATTCAGAATCTTAATCACGTGGACTGATTGAACAGTGCGTTAGGTATGACAATGGATCTACTTAGCAGCAAAATCATGTAAGAATACACAATGGATAGTTGGCACGTGTGTGCGCTTGTGAGATAAGCTCATCCCCCATAGGGTCACACACACACACACACACTAAAGATCATATTTTGCTTTTCGTACGTTTTAGCACGACTCGTTCGCGTGTGATTGAAATATTGCTTAAGCGCAACTACTTGACATATTGAACGTTAGTACTTCAGTTTTTTTCCGAAAAGCTTATAAACACATATTATTATCATTTCGCTTTTAAGATGGGCATCAAAATGTACATACCAACAAAGGCAGCAATGTCCGTGTAAGTAACATGCCATTAAATAGTAAAAAGACTAGGTACACAAATGTTGAACATCAGCTATGGCGTTTACATAATAAAACATGCAAGAGTACCCGGTTTCACCGAGGACTGAAGTGCACACAGAACGCTGTTGTAAAGGTAAATATTTAAAATTCTAATTTTTTGCCTGACGATGCGATGCGAAATGGTAGGTACATAATATATACAACGACACTTCAGGGGTGATAAGTATTTCTTCTATTTTCTTGCTACCCATCGTTCTATCCTATCATCTTTAACGTATGCTGTGTGTTTTTACCAACATTTAAAGATCAACTATAATGCTTTCGGGGATCGTACACACGTTATAAGAGCCGCACAGGTAATCAACCGTTACGCTGTCGATCGTCTACCTCACTCAACAAAATATCACACTTATTATCTTCTTTCTCTAAGCATTCCAAAGTGTTGGTTATTATAAACCTACATTATATTTTACTACCACTTGGTATATTCTAAGAAGGTGCAGTGGCGTAATTAAGATTTTGTCTTAGGGGGGATAGACATTTTTTTACATATGAAATACAAAATACTAAATTTTCAAGTAAAGTGGTGAGTGATAGCTGGGATTACTATTTTATCAAAAATCCTAAAACTAATATCTAAGCACACAAAATTATTAAATTTTGCTTTAAAATTCTACAAAATTTAGTACCTATAGAATATTATAATAAATTCTTCAAAATGTAAATATTGAATACATTAAAATTTCATTTAAGTTCCTAAATAAATAATAATTATTAAAACATTTAATTTATTTTGTTTGTAATATAATATAATGTACATTAGGGTGGTTTAAAAAAAATGTTTTTATTATTTTATGTTCTTCTCTTGATAATATATTATTTGGATGAAAAGATAATTTTTGATATTTTTTTTAGATTTTTAAACCCATTCCTAGATTTGGTTCGTGTCAATTTTATATCAAAAGTTTATTTTTTTTGTTCAATAAAAAAAATGTTCAAAAAAAAAATTGATTATATGAAAATTATCAGCATAAAAAAATAAATAAATGTTGATATTCACTTGATAAAAATTACGAAATTGCTAATGCTTTTTTTTTAGATAAAAAAAATTCTTATTCTCCATCTAATCACGAACAAAATCGTTATAATAACAAAGTACATTTTTTTTTAATGGTAAAAAAATAAACAAACTGCAACAAAAATAAAACACTGATAAAAATAAAAATACGTGTGCCTGGAGCTTATCACAGAGCGAAGTGGAGGGCAAAAATGATATTTTGATGTACACACGAACAATAAAAACATTGAAATTACTAAGACTGTTCAGCTCATTGGTTTTTAAATTGAATTACTCTCGAAAAATATATATTTTTATGGAATATATCATTTTGGTCCGAAACATTAGCAATTTCGTATTTTTTAACCAAGTGAATATCATAATTTATTTATTTTTTCTGCTGATAGATTTTTTTTTTAAGCATTTTTTTATTGAACAAAAAAAAAGTTAAATATAGACTCTGGGGGATCTATCCCCCTCATCCACCCCCTCCTTAATTACGCCCTGCGAAGGTGTCTTAAATAACACTTTTATTTCCTTGCCCTTTTTTTCTGGTCTGATCCGGGTGGTGTAACAACTCAACAACCAAACGTATTGCCGTTATAATAATGCTATTGCGCATTATTCTGATAGTTCAAACAAATCATGCCCTGGATCGACTGAGTGATCCAATAGGTGAGTTCTCCTATCAGTTGTTCACACGAGTAAGTAAATTAATTGCCGGCAAAGAAAGATGAACACGATCGGTGAGACTAAAGAAAACCGGGTTACTATAAGAATAATAATGCGGTAATAATACATTTTCGTCGAACAACATCAACAGCCTTTGACAAACGACAAAAAGGGAGCTGGAAAACCCACCAGGCGATAATAATTGCAATTCCAAGACGGTAGACGACCTGAGAAATCTTTGGATGTTGTGGCTGGATAACGTAACGCACGCAGTGGTGGGTGTAATTAACTAGTTGACACTAAGTCGCAAATAATTGACACTCTGTCAACTCGAAAACCATATCCAATAAGATACGATTATACAAAGTACCTCGATAGCACTGGGGTTCCTACAGGATTTCTTCTTAAGCTGTTCAAATAAGACTCCAGTAAAACTAATCTTATCGGATTGACTAGCTCTCTTGTTTAGGTATTTCGATTTGGAAGTTCTTGCGTTGCTTCTATAGAAGCCGTTTATAGAGAGTATTTTCTTATGAGGTGCCCAAATTGGAGAGAGGATATACTTAGGTAACGTTCTGTGTGATGGGCAGTTCTAGATAACATTTCAGAAGGGGGATGTTTTGTGTCAAATGAATACCGTATTTGAACTAAGCTTACGAAAATGACATTTACAAGAAGGATAACCTTTCTTTTCAAACAAATTGTCTGTATTTTGTATTATATTAGTGATTTTGTACATAACTATCATAAAGAGGGCTAATACTTTACAGTTAGTGTTTGACTATTTTTGATACTAGTTTATAACCGTTGTATAGCAAATTTTTAGTGGTTTCTATATGATCGCTAGAAATGTTGCCATCGAATGCCGACTTTATGGACATTTAAAATTTTCATCTTCTTTCGATTGATGAAATCAAATGAATTGTAAAAATAATATTTTTAAAGTTATCAATGGTATGGTTAAATACGATTGATCGAAATTTAAAGAAAACCGTAAAATATAAAAAGTTCTTTTATAGGTTTTCTAGGCTATTCGGATAAATATCGTTTATCACATTTTCGATTGCAGCTGACCTCTGGAATCATCTGGGCAAGTTTTGACATTCGCGTGCGTTCGAGGCCCATAATAAAACCCTTAGTAAAAGCTTGAGGGGTAAAGCAATATTCCCGTTCACTCTGACCCTTTTTTAAAACGCTTTAGTCCTGTATTTCGAGCCACACCGCTAGGGCCTAACCGGCGCCATTTGGGTACGATTGGAAGGTGGTTTGGCGTTACTGACCTTGGACGTGATCTCGGAGACGTTCAAGTGTACGATTGGCGCGGCGTTAGTGGCTGGAACGTATTCTTGTGTAGACGTGATTGGCATCAGGTTGTCGAAACGTCGTGGCTCGTTGTTGTAAGTGACATACATGTATTGTGCCAACACATAGACGACACCCAGTCCGACCAATAATCTGCCCTGTGACGTCGGCGTTGTCAACATGTTACAATTTTCCGGACATTAAAACAACGCGAGCCCTCGGGTTGGCTACGATGACCGAACGGCTTTCAAAGGCTGAAAAACAAACAAAACGGTCATATTATGACGATGGTGTTTACCGGATTGCATTTAAGGTCTACGAGTAGGTGTAATATTGTCGTAATAGTAATCGTTATCGAGCGAGTCGAAATAGTACTATTGTGTACATATGAATCTTTAACGCTGTTTTTTTTTTTTTTTTTTAGTATAATTTTAGTGTTTGAATATTGCGTTACGAAATGTTGTATTTATATTGCGCTGTAAAAGAATTTTTCATATTTGGACTCCTATGTCAAGTCCTGTTTGTACCACTAATAGGTATTGTACGATATTAACGAACGACTTGCCAAGATACATGGCAGACGGTGCATCGAACGTTGTTCGATGACATTAAACAATATGATGTTAAAGCTTAAACGTTTTATTGCACTGAACGCGATAATAAATATTGTATATGTCATCTATGAATTGTTACGCATAAATCAATCCCGTCAAATAAACATATTTTATATCCAACAGTTTTTCATTTTTTATAAATAAAAAATACATATATTGTATACGTAGCATATACAGTGACTGTAATAATTATTGTTTAACTAATGACGATACATTCTCAATTTATCAGTTAAAATATATTGCGGTGTACGTTATTTCATTATAACACAATATCATCGACATTTTGTATAATGATAATATGTTTATAATTATTATACGCTTCTAAAAAAGTCCTTATTAGTTTCACTAATTTAGTCTATACCATTTTAGGCTACCAGTGTTATAGCTTAAAGACATTAATTTGCAACGCAATTCGTGCAAACCTATTATTATATTTTTCTTCCAGTCGATTGATTTGCAGAAAATTAAATATCGCAAACAGATTGTCGAAAGCATCGGGTAAAAAACTTTCAGTGTTAATGACTCGTTATGCAAGTTGTTTTGTCTCGCTGCGATATTATCGGACTACATTCTACAACATTTTTAGTTCTGTGGAAATACTATTTAATATTAATTTAAAAAAAATGTTGCATGCCGATGACGTAGAAACTGTTACGCGATCAGTGTTTGTTTCATGGTCGATGACAAGTTTGATTTTTGCAAAATATTATAATTTATTAAAGGAAAATGTTTTTATTTTATATAGTTTTTTTTTTTTGTAAAGTTCTAACAATCGTTACATGGCCAAACAATCGTTATAATTCGCTGCTCGCCAGCCAAACCCATTAACAATGTAAATTACGTGATTTTCTATAGCAACAACGATGAGTTTTAAAAAATGTGTTGGGTTTTGTTCAAAAAATAAGTTTTATTGAAAAAAATAATGTATATTCATTAAAAAAATGTTTTATTTATTAGTACTTAGTTCTTTAACAACACAGCTTGCTAGCCTAATATATACGTATATTATTTTATTTAACAAAATAACTGTAAGAGGTTGTTTTTTATTATATTTTAAAGTTAGGATGTTACAGTTACACATATGTAAATACAAAACGGAAACAGCAGTGTACGTTTGAGATGGTATCTAAAAAAAAAAAATGGTTATTTTGGTTATCTGTTCACAAATGTGATCCATCGAAATCTTCTTTACACATATACATTTTTCTATTTCATTCCTATCCAATTTCGAATTCGACATATCATTTCCAATAATATTGTCTGGGTTCTGTGAAACGATTTCGGAGGCATCCTTTAAGGTACGATATTATATAAATCGACAAAAACGAAAAATATAATATAATAAACCAGTCTTGAAGGAATTGCGTTGCGTTTTATTTCAATTCGACTTATCTGCGATTCTTGTATTCTCATCAACAAATCGACTGAAGGAAAATGCAAATTAAATTCAGATTTCATTCCTTGACGGAACGAACACGACAACTACAAAAGGGATTATGTATTCATTTATTCTAATCAAAGCAATTTATATTAGTGAATTGTTTGATATCTAATTATACTTAATACACCTCAAAGTCGTTTGACGAACAACTCTCTAATTATTTGCATTTGAAGATTGTTGAACAGTTGCCGTTATTTAAGATGCGCCAACTATTAGTGTACTCCAGTACACAACATCATTTTGCACATTTATTAATATTCTTAGCTAAACATTATATGGAACGTCTTGGATGTCACGTTTTCCACGCGTTCTAATGAATTTCGTTTTCGACGCTGTTTACTCTTTGCCATTGCGCGCATTTTCTTAATTACAAAAGTTATTTTGCTTATAAATTCACGGAAATAATATAAGAAAGTACACACAGCGAAAGACAACACACACTTCCTCGAACAAAAGCCAAGAATCGAAAAATTAAACGGATATGGTTGTCTAAAAAACTACAACAATAAACGCAGTATTAGTACGTATAAATATAATCTTATTCAGCCTGTAAAAATGTAAGCTAAAATAAATCTTATTTTTCGTTATGAACGGCTGTTATAACGTGGAATACAGTTAAATTATTTTTTTTTATAAGCGAATATTTCACCAGCCCATAAACAAGGAATTACCTTTTAAATCTTGTTTAGCGAATTAAACAGGTTTTAAATAAATTATTTCAAACAATATATACATAATATTTCATAAAAAAATCTTACTTTGTTTATCATTTTATTTATAAAATAATAATTATTCTTGACAGTGTTCGAAATTTTGAATATCGGAATAAAAACACGGGTTTTGCTTTAAATTCCGATTTTCGGATGATTTGCATTTATGTTACACCACCAGTTTATACGATTCCGGTTTTTATTATGCTTAGTTATAAAAAATGCTTAGGTATAAAAAAAAGTGTTTTCCTTAGATTTGTTATTATTTAGGAGAAATTGTAATGAGTAAACCCCGCCGGAACGCTCTGTTTAACAGAAAAATATTTGTATTCCCAGAATCTTTATGCTTTATAATATCATACAATAGGATAACATATACTATTATACTATGTCGTTCCGGTTGTTTTATTAATAAAAACTTTCGGCGTAAGTGTTATTATTAAAACAAAAATTATAAATACTGTTCAAATGTATTGTCACGGTGACAGCGCGCTATGTGTTTTTGCAGAGGTACTGTATTTAGTGTGAGAACAAACAGTGTGTAAATTATGCAAGGCGGACGGCTTGTGCATAAACAATAAGCGGCGAGATCAATTATTTGCAATCCGACAGTGTCCACGAACAGAATCAATTGAAGAACTCCATTAACCATACAGTTCGTCTGCCTGTTCCGTGATTTGCTGTGCCGTTTATACCTATGTATCCGACCTTCCCACACATACAACAACCCTTGTCCTACAGCCACCCCTGTGCTAAAACCACCCCTAGCCGTTGCTTGTCACGTCCATCGTTTGCGTGACAATCCTTCATCTAGGCCGTCACAGACACGACACAAACGAGGGTTTCCCTTGGCAAAACGAATCTCTTGTGCATCGCTAAAGCCGTGCAATTGTGTGCGGTTTAGCGTCTCATTCTGTTCATCCTTATAATATGCATCGACAATAATATATTATGTGCGATAAAACATATTATGCAACACACAAAGCAAGCATAATATCTACGTCGAGCGCCCGCACCGGCTACATACATACTTTGTATTTTATTTAGTGTCTTCAGCGAAGGAAAAGTAATAAGAATAAAATAAACTCGCTGGAAACCGCTGGCATGTAAGAACATAGATATTTTTTACCCTATTTTTGTAGTCTTTTTCCGGTAAAAATATGTATACAGCCAAGACCCTTTAAGTTAAAAACAATTTGAAGTTCTACATATTTTTTTTTAAACAAAAATATGCAAAGTTGCAATATTATGCTAATTTTTAATCATAATACTTATATAGTATATAGTTATGATATTGAACATTTTCCGTATATATTATATTTTTTAGGTTATTACTGTGGGAAGAGGGTTTGTGTCATTATGAATTTTTTTCTAAAAATGGTAGGTAATATTTAAAAAATACAATATATTTATACATACAGAGTCATTCATAATTTCTGTAACAGCAGAAATTTCGATGAAATACTTATACTAGGCAAAAATTACCAAATATAAATTATATGTTGTACAATATTTTGGTTTCCAAAATTTTTAAATTCAAAATTAAGGGGAACTTTTAGAAACTCAAATAACAACTTATGTTTTAAATTATATAGTTCGATTAGTTAATTTTTTTACAAATGTTGACGTTTGATTTAATAATTTTGGTTAAGAAATGAATGATCTACAACCATTTAAATATTTATTTAATTTGAGTGTTTTGTACGTACTTGGATACAATGCTCTTAAGTGGCAGTCGGGAGAAATGTTTATACGCAGATATTATGCTATGACTGTCAATCGAACAGAAAACCTACATAATAATTTATTATCATAAAATTGTTATTTTGGTTATTACTTATCTTATCATATTTATACTTCCTACCTAGTACCTATTAAATGGTTTGGCAGTCAATAAATTAATTTATGTTTAGTTTGATGGGTGCAATTATAGACTTGGTATGTTAAGGAGTTGTTTGTTTCGTTTTAACAACAATTACTCATGTTTTTATACCATTATTTAACACTTGAGTTTTATATTACATTTAATCATGTTATAATCTTTATGAATTGAACAACCATTCTTTAACATATTTTAGTATGTAGTTGCATCATTCATTCTAAGTGTTAATGAAATATCCAATAGTAATTTTTACTGATAAATAATTCAGTTTTAAGTATTTTTAGTAACTATATTTTTTCTCAATAACAATCAGTTCTTAAAATAATTTTAACTTAAACATGAAAATGTTGTTTCTCAAATAGATGGTGCACTTAAAAGTATTTAAACTCCAATAGGTACATTTCATATTATTCTTTATATTTCCTAGGTAAACCATTACATCTTCCACTACCTTCTAATTATAAAAACATACATGATGGAAAGTAATATAAAATGTTATTATTTAAGATAACTTAACATTATAAAAATATAATTAATTTTTTTTTTTTTTTTAAATAAAATGTTGGTTCTTTTCTGCTTTAAGCATTTTTCCTTCATAAATAACATT